AAATTAATGTATTAGCAGCAACGGCCGCTAATCCTCATGCAAGCACACGAGAATTATCTAGAGATTTGGGAATATCCCAGAGCAGTGTTAGCAGAATATTAAAACGAAATGCGAATTAATAAATGCATGAAATCGAAGGCCACCATTTTAAGCACCTAGTTTAATTAAAATTTAAAAAATGAATAAATTTGAAAAAAAAACCAAGTATTTTTTTCAAAAATTATTGGAGAATCGTATACAGAAAAAAATTGAACAAAATTGATTTTTTTTCATTACAGCGCCATCTATTACAAATATGAAAACATATTTTTAGACAAAATCTACCTATGAGGACCAATTTTAGTACTGATTGATTTCGAATCATTTAATTTTTATTTAAATTTTTTTTTCGTAAAATTCATACTAACTGAGATATTTCAAAGTTTCAAGTTAAATGACTCACCCTGTATATAGGTAATACATAGATACATTTTAAAATTAAACTTTACGGTTAAGAAAATTAGGTTGCTTTTTGTATCAAAAAGCAGTTCAAGGAAACTCAAATTAAGTCGATAATTAAGCTAATGAATATATTTTTCATATAAATTAATAAAATTAGTGTAATCGACTTGTTAATGGCGATAAAAACTACATGTATATGTAAACAGTCGTCGTCGTGGAATTTCTAATATCTCAATGTCGGTTAAAAAAATGCAAAAATAAAAACTTGAGTATTTTTTTATCGAAAACGATTTCAATTTTACCGCAAGTTTTCACGAAAACCATAAAAATACAGTATTTAGTAAATATTATTTACATATACAAATTTTCGTGCAGAAATTTTTGTTTTTTATTATAGATTAAAATGTCTGTGGTTTTTTATATCATTTACTGATAATTTTGTTTTGCTTTTCTCCTATGCACGTAAATATTGATTAGTATTAGATAGTATATGTATGTCATAGACATCTTTGATCTGAGCGTTCCGGAAAATTACCTCTACCAAGGTTTTCTTGGATTTTTACGTCAATACCCGCAGGTAATTTTCAATTGAATTGATTTTTTATGCTGATTATATTATAATAAATCAAAAGCCATTACGTGTGTAATGAAAAAAATGCAGTTAAAATCATCATCATGAATACATTTTCAAAAATTAATATGATAAATGAGAAAAATGAAGTCATGAAATATTGCCAAAGAATTTTGTAAAAAATATAAAATATAAAAAAGGTTTTTTGCAATCGTTAAATAAAAATAGATATTTTTTTTATCAGAAATAGAATTTGTTGGGTTATTTTAAAGAAGTTAAATAACTTCTTAATAACATTATTTTTCTACGTTTCTCAAACAATTTTTGAGAACGCTACAGCGTTTTTGAAAACCGCAAGATTCAAAGCCCTTTAATGACCTTGGAGAGAGAAATCGTGAAGTCACGAATGAATCCAACATGTTTCTAGCATGGTTTCTAGGTTATGATCAAAATTCTTTAAAGTATTTAAATCGTTTGAAAAGATTTACATCTACTACAGTTCATTTTTTTTATCTGGACTCGTGTTTTTTTGTTAGGTTGGTGGCTTATGCCAGTTTGACTTAGTATTTTTAGTATTTAAAAATGGTATTTCCAAAGATTATCTATTATTATCTTTGGGTATTTCTTCTAAAGAATTTAATTAAATACTTTGACACTGTCAAATTGACAATAATATTTATTATTGATAATTTGATTGATTGATAATTTACTTGTCAATTATAAACAAAAAGATAATTATGCCAAAAATAATAGCAACGAATTCAAATGTTAAAGCCATTTTGATGAAATTATGCCAAATGTCACAATGGAAGAAAAAGTACTTCACCTTATGAACATTTTTGGAGTAAAAAAGTAACGATTTTGGTTTTATAAATATTACATCACACATTATTTTCACATTATTCACCATTGGACAACATTTACGTTCACAAAAATTTTTAATTTCTTTTATATAAATTCTTTTCAAAGCGAAGATTTAACTACTTTTTTTATATGATTTTACTCATCCAAGCACCACCAAAGCCAAATTAATTGCATTTTTAACTACGAATTTCGACAACTCAACGACAACTCCACAATAATACATAACCACAATTAGATTTAACTAGCTTAGTTTGAGGACCTTATTTGTATAAAATAAAATGATAAAACTCGTAAGAACCAAAATACCAATAACGCAATGCCTGATAACCCCCTGTTTGGGTCTCCCTTGATAATAGATCAGCAATAAAAAACTTTATTTATTTTAAATTTTGTTTTTGCAATATTAATAAATAATCCTGTATATGTTACGTTTATTAATAGTAATAGTAATTATACGATTATTGAATGTATAGTAATAATAAACGAATAGCAATAACCGTTATATCACTATTTAAAAACCTATTTACAGTTTTTTAATTTAGTTTTTATCACCTGCTCTTTACAGTTATTTTTTTTTTATTTTTGTACTTTTAGCCCAGCCTGTTATACACTCACAGGCAAAATAATCGATCCACACAACTTTTCGATGAATTTCAATCGCAAATAACTTTTTTATTTGATGTCGGATTTAAACGAATATTAAAGAATATTGTAGATAAATTAATGGACAATCGCTCACATTTTAAAAAATTACTAATAAATAGACGTACGTTTATAATATACAGGTTTAAACAAAATGATGTTTTTTACCTTAAGTTTAAGACACTCTGTAGAGTGGCAAAACCGTATATTGTTCTAAATTAAGTTTTATTTATAAAATCACATCTATTCTTAACAGTTTTGTTTTTGGTTCACCTCGATATATTTATTTTTGTGGAAAATATGGTTTTTTTAAAAAAGCATTGCAATTTCCAATATTTTCCTGTATGAAGAACTAAGGTTGCTATGGTCCATCCATAGGCTATGAAGAATGACAGTGACAGTTTTGTTTAATCATCCCATACTTGGACATGTCATACACGGCTTTCAAAAGCTATCAAATTGTTTTTTGCAAATTAATGTTTAAATTTTGATGTGTCTTCTTACTTTAAAAAATGGATATGTCTCCGACTGATGTTGCCAGAGCCATTAATTTAATCCAGGATGGACGGTCACAGTATAACGTGGCAAGTGTTTTAAACGTCACAAGAAGTAAAGTACAAAGGGCAACATCAGTCGGAGACATTTTTAAAAGTAAGAAGACACCTCAAAATTAACACGTTAATTTACAAAAAACAATTTGATAGCCAAGTATGGGATGATTCAACAAAACTGTCACTGTCATCCTCCATAGGCTATGGATGGACCATAGCAACCTTAGTTCTTCATACAGGAAAACTATTGGAGATTCCCAGATAGCACAAAGAAGTTATAAAAACGTCCTGAGTATATCTTGTATCAGACATTAGCTAAGTTCCGAGTACGTCCGAATCAGGTCCTGAACCTTCCCCAGGACGTTCCAGGGACATCCGATGTTACCAAATCGTTGGTCCCCAGAACGCCCTAAGGAAGACATCCTCTGGCCATCCTGAAATGCTTTATTGGGGACCAATGGACAAGCTTTACAGAATTGAAGAGTGGTATTCCCAAAGGCCCAGACAGCAATATGACGTCTTAATTAAGTCTTATTTTATTAATTTGTTAAATGGATTTTATTAAAATCATTTTAATAATTTGCTTGTATTCGCTTATTTTAGGAATTGCGATTACTTCGTCTCACTTTTGTTTAAATTTAAGCGTGCTCTTCACCGGCACCGATAGACGGCCTGTTTCCCTCTTTTGGAGCTTGTCAGTATCGATACCCGATCGGGTAGCCGTTTACCTAGGTCTAAGACCGTTTGGTATGAAGCACGCTCTAAATTCTACTTCGCCGCTTCTTATATCAAACACAAGCAGTTACAGCGGTGAGAAGAAAGAAGCGCATTAAAAATGATATCATATAACTAAAGTCTTATTTATGATACCTACCCTTAGTAGCTTCTAATTTTGATTCCAATAAGAGGTCAGAAAAAAAGATACTTTAAGATGTTAAAAAATTTACTTCTTATTTATGAATTCATCAAGAACTCTTAATCTTGAGCTCCTAAAAATGATTTCTCTAAGATGTCATATTGTGACCTCAGTAAGATGTTTTTCAACAGACTTCGTACAGAAATCTTTCTGAATTGGATGCTGTCTGGGGGGTCTAAGTTACAAAAATAAAATTGTGAGTTATTAATGAAAAACAAATATTTTGCACATGTAAATGTTGAAATGTCTGAAACACGTTTGGAATTGCTTATTCCGCTCTCCTGAAACCGTCAAACTCGCCTTCGGCTCGTGTGACAAACTCTTCACTCGAGCGAATATGCTGTATTCCAAACTTGTTACAGAATATACTATTAAGTCATTCTGCATGACACAAACTATTTTTAAATGATAATATATTATTTAACCAACTTGGCACTTAGACCCTTTGGAAATACAATGCTTCAATTTCGTCCTTGGGACGTACCCAGTATATCCGCTATAATTTTCCCAAATAAGTAAGAGACTGGACGTACCCAAACCTTTCGATATAGGTCTAGGACGTTCGGACCTATGTGGGACCCGAAATGGACGTCCTGGGTACCTCTTGTGCTATCTGGGTTGCAATGTTTTAAAAAAAAAATCCATATTTTCCACAAAAATAAAGATATCAAGGTAAACCAAACACAAAACTGTTAAAAATAGATGTGACTTGATAATTAAAACTTAATTTAGAACAATATACGGTTTTGCCACTCTACATAGTGTATTAAACTTATGGTAAAAAACATCTTTTTGTTTAAACCTGTATATTATAAACGTACGTATATTTTTTAGTAATTTTTAAAATGTGAGCGATTCTCCATTAATGTATCTACAATATTCTTTAATATTTGTTTAAATCCGAAATCAAATAAAAAAGTTATTTATCGAAAATTTGTGTGGATCGATTATTTTGTCTGTGAGTGTATTAAAAAAACGCACCAACAAAATTAACAATTTTTTTCTTCGATTTCAGTGCCTAGCAGCCGGTTCCTCCATAATGAACCGCGAGACGGAATCCATGGCGATGCGCCCCCTAGCCAAAGCGGTGACCAAAAGCCTGGAAACGGTGCGCAACCTGCTGCGAAACTCTTGCCTGCGCAACAACACCCCCAACGGCCCGTTGAAGCTCGACTCCAACGAGCTGGTGACGGAGATGCTGCTGGAAAGCCTGAAGATCTTCGACCGGCTCTTCTCGGAGTTCGAGCTCGCCTACGTGAGCGCGATGGTGCCGGTCAAGAGCACGCAGGAGTACGAGCTGCAGGAGCTGATCGGGGTGCTGTTCTCCGAAACGTTGCAGAGAGCCTTGAAGATGAAGCTGCTGAACCAGGACATGGTGGACGATTGCGATCCGGCCCTGATGTTCACCATACCGCGCCTGGCCATCGTGAGCGGTCTACTAATATTCCCCAACGGTCCTCTGTGCATAGACAAGTCGCTGGAAGATATGAGTGAAATGTTTCGTCCGTTTAGAACGCTGTTGCAGAAGATTAGGGAGTTGCTGTGGGCTCTGAACAAGCGCGAGTTGTACATGCTGGAGAAGTTGTTGTGCGACAACGAACAAATCGGTGACGTGAAAGCCGTGTTCAGTGACATCGACGTTCACAGCGAGTTGGACGATTTCATCGACCATTTCTATCCGATGTGCAGCGACTTTAAGTTCCTGCAGATCAGCGGTAAATTCAACAACACCAACGAGGTGAGTGTAGGGTTGAAACTTTTCATGAAAAGTTGAAATTTTTGAAAAGTTGGGTTTTATTTTTCGGAAAAGTTGGAAAAGATGGAAAAGTTGAGTTTTTTGTAATGTAAACGTATAAAACATAAATAATGCTTGTCAATGTATTAAAATAATTTATTTCTTATGTATTTATACATACATAACAAAATAAAATGAACAGACAACATAATAACAACAAAAATAAACTAGGTGTGAATTAAAAAAATCATATTTTTTAAGTAAAAAAATAGAAATTTATACACACCATAAAAAACACATACGAAATAAAAAATAATTACAAAAAAATATGAAGCAAAAATTATTAAATTTATTGTTGTTAAAAATTATGGAAATTTACAAGTAAAAATTTAAAAAGAAAAAGAAATGAAAACTTTCTTCTTTTCCACTTTTATATTTTCACTTGCAAATTTCCACAATTAAAAAAAATAATATTTTTTTCATACTGTGTATAAATTTAAAATACGTTAGGTATAATAAAACAATCTTTATATAATAGAGAATGTTGTTAGCAGACACCATTTTTGATAAAGTTTGACAGAATGTTATTCCAAAAAACAATGCTTTTAGCATGTTTTACTAAAAACACTTCAAATCTAGCGATTTATATCGAATTTTGACCAAATTATCTACCAAAAAAAATTTATGGTAGTGGATAGTGAAGGGAGAATCGAATGATTTTTAGAATCGAATAATTTGCATTCGAATACTCTAAAGAATCGAATGATCATTCGAATGCAGAGAATCGAATAGTTTGTTCCGAATCGGAACCGATAATAGCCGAAAACATTTATTGAATGAATGTTTTCGGAACAAATTATTCGATTCTCTGTATTCGAGTGGTCATTTTATTTCTTGTTTACAATTCGTTATGGGCTGAGCGGGTTGGTTTCGCACTGGGTGCAATATAAATTCTAAACCGGCTGATATACCTACTAATTGATTTATGACATGCTTTCTTTATTTTTGACATAAAACATAAACTATATTTTAAAAAACGTTTTTTATAATAATTATTAGTTACTTAGTTTGTTACTTGTTTTTTATATATTTTTTCAGTTAATTTTTATATATTTTTTTAGTTACTGGTTAAGCATGATTTATTTTTTATTATTTAGACTCTAAATTTTAGAGTACCTATAACATATGTGTTTTTATTTTATTATTTATTAATAGTAGGGATAGAACGATATCACTTTTTTTTGCCGATACGATATATCGGCCGATACCGATATTTACGTGCCGATATACCGATATACCGATATATCGTATCGGCAAACATAATGCCATCTATTTATACACGACCGAAGCAAAAATCGGGGAAGTCCCGTTTTAATTCCGTTGCGAGGAAACGTTTGTGATTGGTAGTGAGTGACATTTCGGATTTCTGGGAAGCCCCTTATACAGTGTGTATTAAAACGAATAGATACACTTAAATAAAACAAGTGCCAAACCCCGCCCACTGTGGTAGGGATTGAGAATTTATAGGTTTTATTTTTATCGAATTCGTTTGTTTTGTTTTAATGCATTTCTGCAAATAAAAACTAAGTATTGTTTAAAATCCATTAAATTCTAGTTAATGGCGAAAATGTATTTCTTAAAAACTATACACATTTCCCTACGACAGCGTCGGAACTACTGAACAAACACAGTAGATCAAACTGCATGCCGCGCTGTTGCCATATGCTATTATTGTTTCCTAAAAGGGTTGTTTTTCTTATTTTTTAATATTAAAAGTAAGAAAATTTTTATTTTCTTTAATAAAGAATTTCATTTATGCACTGAAGAGTGAAAAGCGCAATTTTTTTTTTGCCGATATATCGGCAATTATCTTGCCGATACGATACGATACCGATAATCGGAATCAATTGCCGATATGACGATATACCGATATTAATATCGGTATCGTTCTATCCCTAATTAATAGTGATTTGACCTATTTCTACCCAGTCCATGTCCATGAATTTGTTTTTAATAAAAAACGATCCAAAAAATATATAAGTACTTTAAGCAAAGTTAATTAAATTAATAATAATAATACTTCTTTTAATACATTCAACATATAATGCAATATTGTCGCGTTCGACGATTCTCCATGCGATACAAAAAATAAACTTTGGCTTGAATTCGAATGCATTCATTTCTCTCGTCTCCCACCTTCCGCTCGATGACACGCAAGCGCTTTCGATTCGATTCGAAAGGTTCGAACTATTCGAATAGTTTGTTGAGAATCGAATGCATTCGAATGCATGCCAGAATCGAATACTTCGATTATTTGTATTCGAATAGTCCCTTCACTACTAGTGAAAACACTGGTTAGAAGTCAACTCATTGTTCATTGGCTCACACCTAATAACTTTTCCAACTTTTCATAGGGGGTGCCGAACTTTTCCAACTTTTCGACCGAACTTTTCCTTGTTTTAAACTAAACTAAACTAGGTGAGTGCGGTGAAGAAACCCGTCAAGCACAGCCGAAGAAAAGAGGAATCGAGCAGCGTGAACATACCGTCGACGTCGGGGTATCTGATATCGAACACCATAGCTCACAACGCCATGGTGGCCACGAATCTGTCGAACACGAACGCGTCGAGTCTGACGCCTCCGGAGCACGACTCTCTGGAGATCATTTCGGAGGCGGCCGCCACACTGTCCTCCATACTGAGCACCAACGAGCACCTGAAGTCGAAGAGCCGGAAGCCGGACCTGGACTCGCCGAACGATTCCGGCATCTGCACGGAGACCACGTCCCTGGACCGGTCGCCTTCCCTGGACTGCTGCGCGACCAACTCCGCCAATGAGTCGTGCAATTGCTGCGCCAAAAAGTCGTACGCTGCTGCGAGGCTGCACCCCAAGTCCACTCTGCCGGCCAGGAAGCAGAAGTGCGGGTACAGGAAGGGTCAGGATGCCATAGAGGAGGATTCCAGCTCGGCCAGCTCCGACACTAGTTCGTTTCATAGTGTTTGCAACGACGATACGGAGATTGCTTTGGCGTTACAGGCGGCCGAGATTGCTTGCAATAACGAGATCAGATCGAAATACAAGTAAGTAAATTAACTTGCAAATTTAGAATTTAGAGTGCCGGTTAGGGTTTTAAAGTGTCGAAAAAAAAAACATAAAAATTGGGGAAAAACCTGTTTTTTCTGAAAATATACAAAAATTGTCTTTTTTTGGGTACATGACAAACGATACTAAGGGTGAAAAAATAAATATGTTCTTTTCGCATTAAATCTGATGAATTTAGAAAGAAAACAGAGATTTAGAAATTTTTAAAATTTCCGGAATTTTTAAAACTCCCAAATTTTCATATTTTTTACACTAAACTCGTACCAGCTCTAGGGTTTTAAAATTTCAGGAAAAATTGAGCCATTGGGAAGTTTTCTGAAAATTGACTTTTCGGCCATTTCAAGCGCGCAAAACGCAACTATTTTTATAAAAAAAATTGTAGATAATTTATTATATAGGTATAATATTTTGGCATTAAAATTGTCAACAATATTCTTCTTTTATTGGGTTATACATTAAATAGAAAAACGCTAGAAATATTTTATAAAAGTAGAGATAAGGTGTGGACAAGACAAAAAAAAGATTTATCTTGTCGTGGCCGTTTTGCATTTTTTTCATTTTAATAATACAAAAAAAAATTAAAAAGGCAATTATTCTGAAAATTTTCAATAACTGTAAAAAAAGTGAATTTTCGACTCTGATTATGATAATAAATAATAAATGATTTTAATAATTATTTAAATTATTATAATTCAATAATAATCTTCTACCCGGTCGCAAAAATTCGCAAATTCGGTGCTGTATATTTTATATCGTTTTATCGATTATAATTTTATAAAATTATAATTTTATAATTTAACTTTATAAATCCTTCATTATTTTGTAAATGGATATTTTCAATGTTTATTTTCTTAAATGTCATGTAACAACCCCATACAAATTTAGAATTTGTCTTCATTAAAAAAAAAACACAGTTGAATGCAGGTTAGGGTTTTAAAGTGTCTAAAAAAACGGACAAATTGAGGAAAAAAACCGTTTTTGTTCGGTCTTTTTCTGAAAATATACAAAAATTGTCTTTTTTGGGAAAAACTAATTTTTTTATATATAATATAATATATAATATAATATTTATTTAGCAAAAGCTACATACGAATCACAAAGTAAATTAAGATTAAAATTAATAAAATAGACAAATGGGTAAGTTTACATTTTTAAAAAACATAACAACATGAGAAATTTTAAAAATATATAAATAAATGTAAAAAGTACAATAACAAACATTAAAACATTATTAAAACATATGTTCTAAGTAACATCTTAAATTTTTTAATATTATCACAGACTTTAATATCATTGGGCAATTTATTGAATTCTAAAAGACCTTTATACATAATAGAGTTTAGCATTTGGCTGGTGTTGCACTTAACAGTCAATATAAAATCATTACAATTTCTAGTGTTATATGAGTGGACTTCTTTAAAATATTGTGTTTTTTTACAGATATAATCAGGTAACATTTTATTTTTAACTTTAAAAATTAACAGAAATACATTAAATATAATTTTTTGTTTGACGGAAAGCACATTTAGGACATTTAACATAGATAAAACAGGTGTATAAAAATTACATTTTAATATTGTTCGTAATGCTCTATTTTGTACCACTTGGAACTTTTGTATTATATAATTTGGTAAATTGAACAGAATGGTGGAGCAGAACTCTAGATGCGGTGATGCTATACTGTTGTATAATAACAATTTTGTATGAATCGTTAAATGCTTACCAATTCTAGAAATAAAATTTACTTTTTTAGAAAACTTTCGCAATATATAGTCTGCGTGAGCATGGAAATTTAACTCGTTGTCAAATATAACACCCAGGTATTTAATCTGGTTTACAGGCATAATATTTATGTTATTTATCACAATACTGACATTATTTAAGGCATTAAGATTTAATTTTGATTTTCTTCCAAACAAGCAAAATTTGGTTTTATCAGTATTTATATATACTTAAATTATTATTGCACAGCCATTTAAATATGCAATCAAGATCATGATTTAGGATTTTTTCCATGTGTTTAACATCAGTTCCGCTTACATAAACCATCGTGTCGTCTGCAAATAATTCAATTTGACAATGTTTGACAACCTTTACTATATCGTTAACATACAACAAAAATAATAATGGACCTAACACAGTACCTTGCGGTACTCCATAATTTACAAAAACAGGATTTGATGTTGCGTTTTTATATTTGACTTTTTGCTGTCTTTTTCTAAAAATATACAAAGCAATCAACAACTAATAATTCTTAAGGATACATTTATTACAAAAAAACTAATAATACTAAACATTGAATTGCATTGAATTAATTTAATAAAATAATTGTTAAATATGTCGGTTGGGTCCTTTTTGCAAAAGGAAGTCCATTGAAAATATCTATTTACAAAATAATGAATGATTTATAAAGTTAAATTACAAAATTATAAATTTTATAAATCGATGTGTCAAATAAAATATACAGCACAGAATTTTTTTGCGACCCTGGAGAAGGTTCTTACTGAATTATAATAATAGGAATAATTATTAAAATATTTTATTATTTATAATCATAATCAGAATCGAAAGTTCACATTTTTCTTTATATCAGTGTACAGTTATTTGAAAATTTTCTGAAAAATTGACTTGATTTTATATTATTAAAATGAAAAAAAAATGCAAAAAGGCCAACACAATACTGTTTTTATCAAAAAATTGTAGGTAATTTATTATACATTATTTTTGCATCAAAATTGTCAAATATATTCTTCTTTTATTAGGCTATACATTAAATTTAAAAAAAACGCAAGAAATATTTTATAAAAGTAGAGATAATTTCAAAAAATAACAGGTATGGACTGGACAAGATAAATCGTTTTTTGTCCAGTCGACATCTTTCAATTATTAAAATTATCTCTACTTTTATAAAATATTTCTTGCATTTTTAATTTAATGTATAACCTAATAAAAGAAGAATATTTTGGACAATTTTGATGCCAAAATATTATATAATAAATTATCCACAATTTTTTGAAATGGCCAAAGAGTCAATTTTTCTGAAAATTTGCAAATTTTAAAAACGGTTTTAACCACTGGCTCAATTTTTCCTGAAATTTTAGTGTGGGAAATATGAAAATTTGAGATAAACTTTGATATTTTGAGAATTTGGAAATTTTACCCTATAATTGCAAATTCCTGATTATGAAAAATAACCTTGAAAATTTAAAATTTCGCTTTATAACAAAACATGAATGTTTTTGTTGGGCCGCAACGAGCTGTCACTTTCGGTACTCGACCAACGCTACCTTTGAAAGTGTCCCTGTAGTCGAGAACTTGATAAATGGGACTGCCGCACAGTGGGCTAGAGAGCCGATCTAACGCACAGAAATTATTTTTATAGTAATTCTTAGTGTTTATGTTTTGGTCTAATAGATGAAATTGTAATAAAAATTACATTTTACTATCATTAGAAAATAAATCCACAATATAATACTTTAAGTAAAGTATCTTTGTGTAAGTGCAAACATTTGTAAAATAAAACTTAATAATTATGGATGAATGTAACAAAAAATATCGGTATCTACTAAGAGTTATCAATAAAGGGGAATATCAATAAGTATGAATAAGTATCAGTAACGTCAAATGCGCAGTCTACTAAGTAATCTAAAACTTTCTATTGAAATGCTTCAAACTAAACCACTTTTCACATGGCTCTGTATGAGTTAAGGATAATGTAATAACTGAAAAAAATAAACAAAACATATTTGTGGCGCCTACTAGCACTTGATTTTAGATTTATTTGAAAGACGGAACGGTAAGCAATTAAAAACACTTAAACGCAGAGTGTGAGAATGCGTGACATTTTTTAAAGCCTTAGTAATGTCCATACATACCTTAAAAATATGCAGCGGTTACTCTATTGACGTGGTGAGAGTACAATAATTATAAAAACTTACCATTATTCATTCCAGCCATAACGTATGACAGTATTTAATACAATGATAGTTAAAAAGTCATAATAAATAAGTAATAAACATTGTAAGAGAAGCAATACCTTTACGCGCAATTTACCAACACAAAGCAAGTAATTATAATTCTAAAACTTTTACTGGTTACCTTATAATAATTGAACAAATTTGAAGGTGATTTCAAGTTGTTTTATTTTCTACAGTTATTAAAGAATTCAAAATATCCTAAATTTTGTTGAATTAAAACACATACTTATTTTGAATTTTTGCGCGATGGAAGCTCTCTGGCCTACTGTGTGCCGTTTTAAAAATAAATCAACTTGTTTTATAATAATTTTTACCAAAATTGGGTAAATAATACGTTTATGTTTTGGCCAGAAATTCGCGATTTTAAACCACTATGCTGTTTAAGAATTAGTGAAACGAATTTATAAAGTTTATAAAACAATTATTGGTTTTTGTAGTAGGTACTTAAGAGATACTAAAAATGTCTACAATGAAAATAAATCCTTTTGGTAAAAATCGTTCAAAATTTGCAATTTTAAGAAAGAAATATTTTTAACGAAAAAAATTAATTTAAGAATTTGATTATTTTACATTTTCTTTATGGTTTTCTTCAGAAGAATCTATCCTTCTATGTGTATACTTAAATGAGCTTTTTGTCTTATTTAACCTGCTTTGTATATTTCAAACACCAATAACTAGTTTCTCCAAAAAATACCAAACTTTGTTTTAAGACCATAATCAAAAAACGTGCAAAAAAGTCCCAATTATTAATAATAATCCTGGTTTTCACAAAATATCATAATTTTAATTTTTTAATATTTATATTTACGTTTTTAGTATTTTTAAATCATATCTAATAATAGGTACCACATATTTGAGTCATCACAAAGGCAACTGTATTTAAATAAACAAAACAAAAATACCATCCTTAAAAAAATTTATTTATAGATAAACTAAGTACATCGTAGTTTGATTATTTTTAGAGAAAAAAACAACATTACAAAATTAGAATTTAAAGAACTTTCAACAAACAATCACTGCTTTTTTATCAAATGAGAATAATAAATATGTAGGTTAGATGATTCATGAGAAAATTAATATTTTTCCAGATAAATCACACATTCTTAGAAAAATATTAATACATACTAAAATAGGTTTTTGTTTACGTTTTAACTTTATTTTTCTGTGGCTAAAATTATGACGAGCTAAAATTACTATAAACCAAATGTATCTGGCTTTGTCTGATTGCTGCTCATCTCATAATATTCTCTATTTCTCCTTAGATCCACCGAAGACCTGATCCACCGTCTGTTCGTGTGCATAGCCGGCGTAGCTGATCAGCTTCAAACCAACTTCGCCTGCGATCTGCGCAACATTCTAAAATACGTGTTTCTTATCAACGCATCCGAGGAATCTACAATCGAACCGGCCATGGCCATCTCGATGACCAAAAGCATCGAGGGTAGCTGCTCGTTGGACACCTCCATCGAGTATCATCCTTCGGAAGACGAGGTAACTATGATAAAAGTTTTAGGAAAAACCGTGATTATCTTTCTTAAAAGAATGTAAAAATCACAATAAATAATATCAAGAGTCTTGATTCAAGTGTCAAAAACAATTTGAAAGTTAAAAATACATTTAAATGTAATAATTAGAGATGCGACTTGAAAAAAACGGTCCGTTTTTTTCCAGTTTTATTTTCATTGTTTTTTTTCAAATGGTTATTTTTCATATTTTAGTTTTTTTTCAAGATTAGTCCCATTTGCCTAATTTTTTATGTTTCCAGTCCAGTTCATGGACTAAAATTAGCCACTAAATGACATTTAGTAAATGTAAATACAGTCTCGCGCTTTGCACGCGCCACCGCCACCGAATTGACCAATATGGGCCATAAGGTTTTGATTTGGTCCTAAAAAAGTATCTACCTATAATATTTTTGATTCAGCGCTTGATTTTTCAAAAAGCACTTCTTTTTATGATTTTTTAAATTCATGTAGGCTACATTGTAGAGTATGGAATTTTTTTTTAAACAATAGCAAATTTTTGTAGAATAATTAATTATTCATTGGTGGTTAAGTCAGAACATTCCGTGGACCAAAAAAGAAAGCCAAAAAAATTTCGAATTTTTTTATTACGGTATTCGTTAGGATTAAGCGTTGCACGTTTTTCATCTAAAAATCTAAAAACTAGAAACTTCAAGCTTCAAATTTCTTTTTTTACGGCTCCAATACGACCATTTTAACGAAGATACAGCTATCCGAAAAATCGCAAAAAATTTGGAATTTTTTTTTATCCTTCAATTTTTTCTATTAGTGCAGAAGTTTTACATTGCTATTGGTTTCTTATGTGGAACTACCAAATAATAAGAAATCAGATTTTTTAGTCTCAGTCAAAATTTTCAATAATGAAAAATGTAATATATTCTACATTTCACTTTATTATAAATATACATTTTACTCAAAATTTCATTTTGAAAAATTACTCCATTTTTTAAGATTTATGTTATTTATTGACAGAATATGCTTTATTGTAGTGGATTTTTCTAGGTTTTTTGACATGTTTTTTTCACATCTGAAAAATTTTTTTCCGCAGATACTGGATGTTACATTTTTAAAGTTTTTTAATTTTTTTTTTAATATTTTTAAAACTGCTTTAGTAATTTCAGTAAATTTTTTGTTGTGATCCTAAAAGAGCACATATTAAAGCAATACAAATGTTTGAACAGGTATACCAGGGGCGTGCGTGCGATCAGATGCTATAGTAATTTGTAACAAAAAATACGTACGCCACTGAATTTTTTACATTATGATAGCTCATTTTATTAAATTAAAATGACCTAAAAAGCATCTCCTAATGTTCAATAAAATTGTACTAATATTAATTGTATATGTATTTTTTATTTGAAGAGTTAGACAAAAGTTTCGTAATTACAAGCCTTTTAACAAGAAATTTCTGAATTGGAAAAAGACAATGGTTCTCAAAATATTTAAAAAAAAAGTAAAAGTTTTTCAAAACCAAAAATTGTTATAACTTTAGTAAAGTTTTACATGTACATAAATATCCACATTAATCTACATTTTCATCCAATTCCTTCTTTACTATATTTTGAAAAATTTCAATATGGTGACCATAGGAAAAATAAAAGATAGTGGTGGTATCTTAAAATCCAGTAGGCCAAAAAAATGTAAATGTAATGTAAAAATGAAAATGTAGATAAATGTGTACCTATGTTTACATGTAAAACTTACTTTTTTTCAAAGTATCTAATAACGACGTTATAGCGATTTTTATTTTTAAAGAATTTTTGTTATTTTATTTGAGAACCTGATTTTTTTATACAATTTTAAATTCCATTTTAATAGACTTGTAATTACCCAACTTTTGTCTAATTTAACCAACGTTAAAAAAAATACCCATACATAAAAGGATACTTGGTTTACCCTGTACACATATATGTTTTTTTATTTATTTTCTTGAATTATAACGTCCATCAGTAAACTATTATTCAAGTTGAAACATAAGCTTTACCTATACAAAATCTTAAAAATCTTGTGGGTGATAATAATTCCCTTATTAATATCATACTAGCTGAAAAAAGTAGGTGGTTACGAAGTGACCAACATTGGCACTAAAATACAACTTTTTACAGGTTATTGAAAACAATGAATTTTCGGTGGATCCTAACATTTTGGCTCAAGAGGCTTTGTTCGATACCAATGTCTATTTCCATTTGGATCATGACGATTGTCTGGAAAGCGATTACTTGAACCATCCGAGGCAAAATGGAGGACAGGAAGAAAGGAGTTTGTCGAGTTTATCGTTAAATAGGTAAGAACGATTTTACTTTGTTTTTAATATTGAAAATTCAAGATCCTGTGGGTTTCCCTATATATATTTTATAACATCTTTATTATAGTAATGGCAAAATCGTCAAGCAAACAAAAATATTATTTTTCCATCTATCTCTCGACGAATTTAATCAACTAAAATCAGGTTATTGACCCACAATAAATAAAGATAAATTTTCCTCAATTTACGATATTATGTTTGATATGCTATCAAACTTTAACACAACAAAATAATAACAAAAAAAAATTGCGTACACAAACCTTACCAATACTAACAAATACAAATACAAAAATTGCGTACACAAACCTTACCAATACTTAAAACCGTTACTTTTGCTCAAAGATGATAGTAGTGGTACCACAAAAATGAATAAAGTTTGAGTCAGGATTATATCTCTGTTATACCTACAAAAATGATTATTATTATACAGTATGTTCACAGATAGGGTTACAAAGAGAAAAAAAATAATTTACATATCTTTGAAAATTTTATTCTTCATAACATATTGCTTGATTTCAAACCCCAGAATATTCAACACATAATTTTTTGATTAAAATCATTTTCGGTCATTTTTCATAAGTAATACCTAGTTTCTTTTAACACGTTCAAAGCTTTTACTTTTCATTTTATCACCGAAAATAAATTTTTTATCGCCGATTTATCCGTGGAGCATTCTTGAGAGATTTCTACCTACTATAATAATAACATTCATTTGTTTACAAAAATTACAAATTAAAGAAAACGGTTTTTATAAAAAATAGTTGTCCAAAATTAAAAAAATTAATATTGCAAATCAACCATAGACCATAGACAATAAAAATGATGTGCCGCTTATTCTGAGGTTTTAAAACCAAGAAAAAACTTTATCAAGAATTAAATTTTCTTAGAAATTAAATATGTTTTCCGTGGACTGTATTATTTTTATGTTATTGATTATCTGGTGGCTTTTACCTACACACGTTCCATGACCTCATAAGGTCAACAAATAGTGATATTGCAGTTTGGAATATTAATTATTATTAACAAATTGTATAAAGTAAAGGTCAATGCGATTTTTGATACGAGTTTAAAATGCGTCAGTTTCTAGAAATTATCTTTTTTATACAAAAAAGTAAAGATTTATTTATGTACAGGGTGCACCAAGTATCATTCTATGGGTATTTTTTATTGAAGCAACTTCGGTTAAATTGGAAAAAAGTTGCGTAATATAGTCGGGGAAAAATATGCGTGGGTGCACTAGACTGGTCCAAAAAAATTGACTATTTTTTTTGTAAAGTATATCGAAAATATTGTTTGGGGTGGCAAAAAAAAATATTGTAAAAGTTAAGTCCATAATATTAATATTAAGAGGACTATCGTCGCAATTTTAGATTTTTTTTTCCTGAGCGAGTTTTTGTCTCAGAACTCCCAAACCATTGAGTTTAACAAAATTGACTTAAAAATATTTTTTGAAGAAAATTGAATGCTCTACAAAAAAGGTTTGATTGAAATTTCCCGTCAGATGAACCGTTTCCTTACAATCATGCCTTAAAAATTGGTATAGTTTTACAATATGGAATTTTGTAATTTATGTAAAAATCAGTACCCGGAAAAAAATCGATAGATAATCTTATGGAAAATCAAATGCTCTACAATAAAACATTTTTGGCACATTTCGACCGATATATATCATGATATTTATCACGATATATATCGATATTTATAAGCAATGATATACATCATTAATATTTATAAAACTGTTACAATTAAATATTTAACAGCTTTTTTCAATCATATACTTACCACACATATACAGATCATTTTGGATTCAGGCTGTTTCCTTTTCGTGGGGTTAAAGTAGGAGCTAGCTACTTATGCAGTTTTACACATGCGTGGGGCCGTGTTGCCAGATGTAATTATATTCTAATATTATTTTCGTTATTATATAAAGAATTAATAAATTATGTTTTTAAGTATTAATAATAAAAAGAAGTATTATTTTTTCAATTTTATAAAAATGTGTTTAGCATTAGAAATTTGGCTACGTCTTATTTTATTACCCAAGGACTTATTGCCAAGGAGATTATAATCGAACATTTTGGTCACAGTACAAATCATTTTTGGTTTATTGTTTACAGCAAAACAGTTCGCATTTTAAAACTAGTTTTCTAATTTTTTTTTAATATAACCTAAATTCTTAAACTGACATTTGGATTTATTCATAACCAACAAACATTATTGATTTTTTAATCTCCCACTTTTGAACTGCACGTGCGCAAAAGGTAGAGAGTCATCTATTCAAAATATAGGGAATAAGCGGTATATGTGTGGTAAGTATATGCCTTCAATTTAGAGTCTTTATTTCCATTCTACGAATTTAATAAATATTTGTAGATTTTATTAAATATAAAATGTATAATTTAAAAATATGATATGATATGATTAGGGATGTGTTATAATTGCAGTGACAAAAGTAATAAAAATAAAATGCCAAAGAAAAAAGATTTGATGATGAACCTTTATAAATATTGAATTAATATTTTTTGAAATTAAAATTTAATGTTATAATTTTGTTGTTAAGAATTTATTTTTGTTTAATGTTTTCTTTACTTTTTTTAATAAATTTATTAAAAACATTTTTATTCTGGCTAATATAATTAATTTTTGACCAAAACCTTAAAAGAAATAATTAAAAAAATAAATATCAAGATGTTGATATATATCGGATATATAATATCGATATATGTATATCCGATATTTTGATATTTATATACTTATATTTTTTATTACATCATCGCGCTAACAAACCTATAAATTTCCGCACATCTTTTTTATTTAATTTTTGAATGTCAACGAAATTCTTGTGTTTTTCGCAATAGATTTGTTTTTTGGGTCAGTTAAAAACTTGAATTCTTTTATCGATGATAATCTTTGTTATTGATAAAATTACTAAAACACATTCGAATTTTTTCGCTTTACGAAGCTAGTTTCTTTAGAAAATATCATTTTTACTTTAACCTCGAATAACTTTTGATTCAGTGAATTTAGCAAAAAATGTTAAGGGACTTTTTTTGTAGAGCATTTGATTCCCCATAAGAATAAATAACCCTGTATTATAGAATATACTAGTAGAAGAACAATGCCGATTCTAGCCCACTAGTTTACATGACAGCCGCATGGCTGTCTACACGAGGACCGCCATTTTGGATTTCTAGATATGCCAGAAGGTGCTCCCGGGTCCCACATCAAGGTGTTCCAAAATGGCGGTCCTCGTGTAGACAGCCAGCAAGTAGCGCTATCATGCGGCTGTCATGTGTACTAGTGGGCTAGAATCAGCATTGTTCTTCTACTTATATTTTTTATATTTAATTTGTAAATGTCAACACAAAATTATTTAATGACATGATAGAGATTGATAAAAACACATTTTAATTTTTTTTTGTAAATATAGGTGTTTTTCTTCCAGTATATCTACTTAGCTATAAAAATAAAAAACTGTACTTTTTTAGGTATGCTTCTCTGAGAGAAGACGTTGCCAATTTGCACCCGGACTCCGTAAACAACGACAACGCAGCGCACGCAGACGGCCAAGAGTCCAACGTGACGCCGCCAATTTGGATACCGGACACGGAAGCGCCGAAATGCATGAGCTGCGGTGCCAATTTTACCGTCGTCAAGCGACGGCATCACTGCAGAAGTTGCGGGAAAGTTTTTTGCGCGCGCTGCTCGTCCAACAGCATACCCTTACCGAAATTCGGCCACGTCAAGCCCGTAAGAGTTTGCAACAATTGTTACATATTCAATTTGATTATTTAGGTTGTTAAAACAATGCGAATGTTCTGGTGATTTTTTCGGTTATATAAAAGTTGTAACGCAAGGAATTATCTGCAAAAAAGGTCCCGTACGTTTTTCTCTACGGGCAACCGTTAAGTAAATATTTAGTTGGTCCTGAAACGTAAAAAAATTGATCTTAGACTGAAATTAGACTTTTACGATTTTCTTGGTTTACGTTGGTAGTACGATTTTTTTAGCTTAATTAAAGTTGTAGTAAAGGAAAATACCTACAAAAAAGGTCCTATACATTTTTTACCTACGACTAATAGTTCAGGAAATATCGAATTTAACATTTTTTAGAGCGATATTTCAAAACTTTTATCAAAACCAAACCAAACCAATATCGTCGGACGAATGGAAAGGTTGCCGTTATTTTTTGTTTAAAAAACTTTTTTTAAGTGATTTACGCCCTTTTTGCCATTAAGACTGCGGAGTTTTTGTTAAATCTCAACATCACAAAAGTTTTAAGAGACTAGTTAATGGCTAAACTTCGTGTATACAGCGCTTTAACGATGTAAATTTTATACTTTTGTATTGTGTAAATAATTATTAAGGTTGTTAAATGTTCATTTATCTCCCCCAAAAAAATGCGGATTTTTTTTATATTGATGTACTTATTTTAAATAGTTGACGAGCTTTTTACAGCGAAGGTACTTCAGATTTTATTGATTAATACTATAGATGTAATGTTTCTAAATTTCATGTTTTGCCTTAAATTAACGGATTTTTAAGAACTTTTTTCTAAAATCATTTTATATTACATTCTGTATACCATTAGCTTAGTGCAAATTGCGTTGAAAATTATTTTTCCTAAAATATATTTTTTTAATAATAAAAATTACGAGATTTTCTATTCACAATATTTAGAAACACATTTTCTTCTTGAATATGCAGAGTTTACTTTTAATAACAATTTATATTAACTTCTGGATTAACTTATATTAAGATACCCCTTTACATTTATTTTTAACCATATTTTTCAATTAACATATTTATAGGCATAACTTTTTGGACTCGCTCTGTATATTCCAACAAAAACAAAACTTTTTTAAATATTTTAAATTTTTAACGAGAGTATTACTTTGAGGTTTATTTGTGTATAAGGATTTTTAAGTAAGTACAAAAATTTTAAACTACTACTGGTAATATCTCTCAATAGTTTTTAATTTTTTGTACTGAAACATTTTGTGATAACTTGTATATTTTATTTATAGCGGTTTATGGGATTACTGATATCTCTAATAAAGATTATTTTTCAACAAATATGTGTTTATTTTTTTCCTCAGTGTATCGTTTTCTTAAAGGTAAGTACTTTTTCTATTTTTTATTAAGAACTATTTAGTTTTTTCGTTTACAGCTTGTCATCTTAACCTATAGTTATTTTAACTTCACGTCTTCATTTTTTATTATTTTAAATAGAAATAATTCTAGCTTGTCATCATTTTGACCTGTAGTCCGTTTAGATTGTCATCTTAAACGGATCATATTAATTTCACGTTAATAGGCTTGTAATAATTTTAACACGTCCATTTAGCTTAATTATAACCTTTAGTTATTTTAGCTTGTCATTTTAATCTGTAGTAATTTTAAATTGACACGTCAATATAGCTTTTTGTCAATTTATCTTGTCATTTAAACCTGTAGTCATTTTAACATGTAGTCATTTTACCTTGACGTCAATATACCTTGTCATCATTTTGACCTGTAGTCACTTAAGCTTGTCGTTATTTTAACTGGTTATCATTCAAGCTTGTTGTCATTTCAACCTGTGGTCATTTTAGCATGTCATCATTTTAAACGGTATTACTAGCTAAAATACTCATGCTAGCCATCTTAACCTGTAGTCCATTTAGCTTGTTATCATTTTAACCTGTAGTAATTTTAGCTTGTCATCTTAACCAGTAGTCATTCTAAAATGACGTCACGTCAATATAGCTTTTCGTCAATTTATCTTGTCATCTAAACCGGTACTCATTTTAACCTGTAGTCATTTTAACTTGACCTCAATATAGCTTGTCATCATTTTGACCTGTAGTTAGTTTAGATTGTCATCTTAACCAGGTCATTTTAATTTCACGTTAATGGAGCTAATAATTTTAACTTGTCGTTTTAAACTGTAGTCACTTAAGCCATTCGTTATGTTAAACAAGTTATTCCAGCCTTCAATTAAACCTGTAGTAATTATATCTTGTCATCTAAACTTGTAGTTATTTTAATCATCATCATTCAAGTCACGTATTATAAAAATTATATATTATATTGCTATATATAGCCTTTCGTTATCTTGTCATTTGGGCTGGTAAAAATTTTTACTACCATCATTTTAGCTGGTGGTCTTAACCTTTTCATTATTTTAAAGTATAGTACTATAGCTATAGGTAAAATACATAATTAAAGCTTGCCATTTTAACCTGCACTCACTTAAGTGATACATTTATCTTGCAGTTATTTTAAACAAAAGTAATTTTAACCTGTAGACTACAGGGTGTAGTTAGCTTGTCATTTTAACCTGTGGTAATTTTAGCTTGTCATTTTAACCTGTGGTAATCTTAGCTTGTCATCTTAACCTGCCATTCTAATTTGACGTCACGTCAATATAGCTTTTCGTCAATTTATCTTGTCATTCTTAACTATAGTACATTTAAGCTATAGCTATATGGTATTCCATCATTTTAGGTGGTCATCTTAACCTGTAGGCCTTTTTAAATTGAAGTCAATTTACCTTGTTATCATTTTATCTTGTGATTTTAACCTGTAGCCACTTTAGCTTGTCGTTATTTTATCCTGTGGTCATTAAAGCTTGTCATCTTAACTTGGTCATTTTAATTTCACGTTAATATAGTAATTTTAGCCTTTATTATTATAGCCTGTGGTACATTTAACTTGTCCAGCTATCGTCATTTTAGCTTGACATCCTATAAAAGGATTCCAATTATAATTATAAAAGGATTCCAATTATAATTATAATTAATTATTGTGATAAAAGAAATTAATCCTATGAAATTCAAAAATAATCGGAGTATGTTTGTGCCACCCTGTAGTAAACTATTTGGGACAAGTCCTTAAAAATATAATAAAATATCAAAAAGGTTTACAAAAAAGAAATAAATGCTAACGAAGAGTATCGTGTATATAGAAATGTTTGATCAATATTCTCGCACTTCAAAAGAAAATTCCTTTGAACACCATGGATACCAAAAGTTCTCCATTAGATCGTTCTATAAATGTCTCGGTGTGTCATTTTAGACGTTTTTTAGCAATTGCTGCATATTTTTATAGTGTATTTTATATTTTTATTATTAAATAAATATGGACGAAAGCGACATGGAAGATGAGGAGATGATGGGGGAGGAAGAGTCTGACGAAGAGTTGGATCCCAATAATCCAGATGATGCTTTCAAAATTTTGGAACGAGATTTTAACAAGGTGAACCAATTTTCTAAATTTAAGCTTGCAGTTATTTATTTTGTAGTCATTTTAGATTTTATGTATAGCTTCTATTCCCATAATATTTTCTAGACTTTAGCTCAACTGGAAAGCCAACCAGATGCAATCCAGTATGCAGACGAGTTCGCCAAAATCTTCGAAGCCGCATTCAAACTCAAAATTCACGAGGGAGAACTTACTGAAGAGAATGCCGAAATGTCTAAAACAATCGCCGAGCAGGAAGACAAAATCGATCTTGCTCGGAGTTTGGCGATCAAAGATAAAGAAACAATCGATGAGCTAAAACAAAACATCATACACGTGTGTAAACTAGCAGATGCTGCGCATTACAGGGAGCAAGCTGCGCAGGAGATAATCGATAATTTGAGGAAGCAGGTCGAAACTTTGAATGCCGAGATCGATTTCAAGAATAAAATGGCCACTGATTCAGAAGAGTAAGTAAAAATATCATAAACCCACAAAATGTTTACATCAATAATATTACATCATGAAATATAACACAGTATGACAAAATTTTTGATTTTGAAAAATTCCTATAGATTTTGAAAATAGACTTAAAAAAATGATACCTGTGTCTAATATAACACTAATATAACAGCTTCGATATCAGCTAGACTGTATAGTTTTAAATAAATATTATTTACTGAATAAATAACACATTGCACATTTACGTTCGTGGTCCATTGAAAGTTTAAGGGGAACGGCAAAAGATAGGTATCGATTTGAAATTTTAGTTACTGGGTCGTTTTCAAAAAACACCTGTCCGTAAGTTTGAATTCCAATAACTTTGTTAAAAATTATCGGATCTTAAAAACTAAGTGAAAGCCTAACAAGCCATTAGTAAACTCTTTCAGAAAATGTTTGTTTAGTTATTTCAGAATAATTTTTTTTTTATTTTGAAACTTGTGAAACACACATTTTCGCATGTCCCATTAGCGTTTTATAAAACTTACATACATGTTTTTTTTTAAATATTGAATAGCCAGAACTTTGTGTTGCTTTATAGCAATCCATAACATCCTTAGTTAATAAAGTAAACAATTTATATATAAATTAATTAATTTTAATCTACTTTTTTTAAATTTGACTCATGTCCCAGACATTTTTTCCGTTGCGCTACGTCCGTCGCGTTACCGATAGAATATTAAAAAAAACATATACATGGCAACTTTTTTGGCACTCAGTGATCAACAAATGATGTTCGGACGTACAAATTACCCAGCTGAATTTATTTATTTAATCAGGAAGAAGATATCGGTTGAAACAGGTGCGGGTAACGCGAATGTAATAATTGTTTGTCCGCTAAGTTACCCAAAAAAATAATAAAAATAAGGTAAGAAAAAGTACTATTTTTCATGTTTATGTTTATTTTAGGGCACTAAAGCTCATTGAGAGTAATTAATGACTGTAATGTTTTATTATTATTTTTTAAATATGGTTTCACAAAACTTTGTCCACTGCGTTACCTTATGGTAACGCAATGAAATTTAGGGTAACGCAATAGAATTTTTCGACAACAAAGTGGATATTTACCGTCGCTTTTTATTAAAAGTAGTTAATGATAAACCAATTTAAAATTATTTGTGATTACAACTCATGATATAGATTATATCCAAGGGAAAATTCCACGCAATAGAAGTACTAAAAGACACCAGCTTATAGTCAAAGAAAAAGGGTGTCTTTAATTTAGAAATCTAAGTTCTTATTCTGCAAGTGAGCACCACTACAAGGGATTTTGTTCATGCATTACTCTAAAATCGTACCACCCCTGCTGAAAATGACGGATGATTGCGGATATAAATTCTTCGTCAAAACCGGATAAAAGCAGATGATTGCGGGTATAAATTCTTCGTCGAAGCCGGATAAAAGCAGATAAAAGCGGGTAAAAATATCATCTGATAACATCTGCTTTTGTCCGCATCGCTATATCCGCGAACACCCGGTTGGTTGTGTTTTATGTCCGGTTAGTGCACCCCCGCAATCATCTGCAATCATCTGTTTTTAACCGTCTTCACTGTGTTTCGTTTATATCTGAATTTGTCCGAAATAATCTGCAAACGTCTGCTTACGTCTGTTTTTATCCGCGATTACCTGCATTTTTTTTCGTCTATTTTTGTCGGGTTTTATCTGCAAACGTCTGGTTTTATCCGCGAGCATATGCTTTTACCCGCGAACATCTGCAATCATCCGCGAAAATCTGCTTTCATCCGCGAACATCTGATTTTATCCGCCAACATCTGTTTTTATCCGCGAACATCTGCTTTCATCCGCGAACATCTGCAGTCACCCGCGAACAACTGCTTTTATCCGCGAACATCTGCAATCACCCGCGAACATCTGCAATCACCCGCGAACATCTGCAATCACCCGCGAACATCTGCTTTCATCCGCAAACGTCTGGTTTTATCCGCAAACATCTGCTTTCATACGGTTTCACCCGCAAACATGCTTTTATCTGCGAACACCTGATTTCATCCGGATAGTGCACCCCCGCAAACATCTGCTTTTATCCGCGAACATCTGCAATCACCCGCGAACATCTCATTTTATCCGCGAACATCTGCAATCATCCGCGAACATCTGCTTTTATCCGCAAACATCTCATTTTATCCGCGAACATCTGCTTTTATCCGCAAACATCTGCTTTCATCCGCGAACATCTGCAGTCACCCGCGAACAACTGCTTTTATCCGCGAACATCTGCAATCTCCCGCGAACATCTGCAATCACCCGCAAACATCTACTTTTATCCGCAAACATCTGCTTTCATCCGCGAACATCTGCTTTTATCCGCGAACATCTCATTTTATCCGCGAACATCTGCAATCATCTGCTTTTATCCGCAAACATCTGCTTTCATCCCCAAACATTTGCTTTTATCCGCAAACATATCATTTTATCCGCGAACAACTGCTTTCATAAGGTTTCACCCGTAAACATGCTTTTATCTGCGAACGCCTGATTTCATCCGGTTAGTGCACCCCCGCAAACATCTGCCTTTATCCGCGAACATCTGCTTTTATTCGCGAACATCTGTAATCACCCGCGAACATCTGCTTTCATCCGCGAACATCTCATTTTATCCGCAAACATCTGCCTTTATCCGCAAACATCTGATTTTATCCGCAAACATCTGATTTTATCCGCAAACATCTGCTTTCATAAGGTTTCACCCGTAAACATGCTTTTATCTGCGAACGCCTGATTTCATCCGGTTAGTGCACCCCCGCAAACATCTGCTTTTATCCGCGAACATCTGCTTTTATTCGCGAACATCTGTAATCACCCGCGAACATCTGCTTTCATCCGCGAACATCTCATTTTATCCGCAAACATCTGCCTTTATCCGCAAACATCTGATTTTATCCGCAAACATCTGCTTTTGCGGATAAAAGCAGATGTTTGTAGATTAAAACAGATGTTTGCGGATAAAATCAGATGTTTGGGGATAAAATCAGATGTTTGTGGATAAAATCAGATGTTTGCGGATAAAATCAGATGTTTGCGGATAAAAGCAGATGTTTGCGGATAAAAGCAGATATTTGCAGATTAAAATAGATGTTTGCGGATAAAAGCAGATGTTTGGAGATTAAAACAGATGTTTGCGGATAAAAGCAGATGTTTGCGGATAAAAGCAGATGTTTGCAGGTGAAATCTTATGAATCAGACTTTTGCGGACTAAATGAGATGTTTGCGGATTAAAACAGATGTTTGTGCATTAAAATAGATGTTCGCGGATGAAAGTAGATCTTCACGTATAAAAGCAGATGTTTTCAGGTGAAATCGGATAAAGCAGACGTTTGCGGATTTAAGTAGATGTTTGCGGATAAGATCAGATCAAACCGGGTGAATGCAGATATAAACTTAAATACAGGTATTTGCGGATGAAAACCGATAAAAGCAGACGTAGATCTAAATAGATAAAACCCGACGTTCGCGGATAATATTTATACCCGCAATTGTAGATAAAAACCGACATGCCGGGTAAAATCAGATATGTCGGATAAAAACAGATATAAATGGACATAAAACTAGCTTGGTTTTTTATCCGCAATCATCCGATATTACCCGTCTTTTTCAGCAGGGACCCTATATAGTTTCTTTTTTACGTTATCTGATTAAGTCCTTTGTGTACACAAAGGACTTAATCAGATAACGTAAAAAAGAAACTAAACCAGTCTATTTCGTTACTTTTTTTAGTTTTTCTTAAAAAAAATCCTTAAAATGATTTTACTATCACTTGGTATAATACCTGTTAATAAATTAGAGTTTAACTCACTAAAACAGTGACTAAAAGAAAATATTAATGGTATTGTTTTTTTAACAAAGAATCGAAATGATGTCTTTTAAAAAGTAACTTAACTAACATAAATATTTAAAAAAGGCATACAATTTTTAATAAAAAATAAAATTGGATTCAAAAGTTTGTGAACTAAGTACATTTTATTTCAAATTATTTTTATAACAACTTTTTTTATTGAATTAAATTTTGGATTTCAAATTAATAACACAGTGGAGACATAAAGCTAGCTAAACACATTTTTCTGAAAAAAACGTAAAAAATCTCTAACTTTATTTTTAAAATCTGTTAAGTGTAATATCTCTCAGAACAAAAATCCAAAAAAAAAAGTTTTTTTATAAAATAATTGTTTGAATTTTTTAAGTGCTGGAAAGAGTCACAAAGAAAAGGACATGCTACAAAGAGAAAAAGAAAGACTGACAACTGAAAATGGGTATTTACAACAAAAACTGGAAAATTGTAATATTTACACTGAAGAACTGGAAGAAAAAACTGGTGAAGCAAACCTAAAAATAAATGAACTTAGCGGGCAAGTGGAGGCAAGTTTAAATGAAAAAAATACATCCACAGATTTTTCTATTTTAACTTTCTTGTAGGACCAATCAAGTGAAATAGATAGGATGAAAAAGTTCAGGGAAAAACTTGAAGAAGAGTTAACTCTGACAAATATAATCGTAGATGAAAAGGAGTTAAAAATAAACGAACTTAACAACGACATAACCCAGCTAGAAAAAAGAATTGTAGATCAAAGCGAAGAAGCCAAAAATCAAAAAGTCCACTACATGAGAATCACAAAGGAGTTTATCCTGTTGGAGGCCAAATATTCCAAATTGTTCAACGACCATCAAAAAGTATTTATAACGATTGACCAAGCTAAAAAAGACTTGCAAGCAAAAGTTTTGGACTTGAAGGCCGTCACAGATGAAGTTGCACATTTAAAAGCCGATTATACGAACTTGAGTTTGCAAAGAGATGGATTGGAGAAGCAAGTTTTTAAACAAACGACGACATCGCAAAATTTAATGGAGGAGAGGAATGGGTTGAGACAAAAAATCGCCACCATAGAAAAAGAGATATTAGAGCAGAAAAAGGAGATCCTGGAGCACAAAAGAATCGAGGATGAAGCTGTCAAAGAGAAGAACAACATCGCCAAGCAAGTTACAAAGGCTACAGCAGTCAATAAGGAGCAAGCGAGACTGATAAAAATTCAACAAAAGACGAAAGAAAAACTGGAAACTGATTTGGATTTATACTACATCGAAAACAATCGCCAAAAAAAAGACATCAGCAGTCTGCAGACAGAAAAAGACCGCTTCGCAGAAGCACAAATACAGTTAAACAAAAAAATTGATGACCTCATGGAGGATGTCCGTCAGAAAAAAGTCATGATATTCGATTTAAAAAGAACCATAACAGAAAACATAAATAAAATCCGGCAACAGCAAAATATGTACGAAGCTGTGCGAGCGGAGAGAGCTTCACTGCAAAAATCGTTGGAGCATTGCTCAGCAGATTCCGAAGAAGTTAAGAAAAAATTAAAAATTACTTTGTTTCAAACTGAACAGTTGAAAGAAGATATATCTTCGAAGGAACAAGAGTTGATAAAGCAAGATACAGTCATGAGAAAGGTTGTTAAAGAACGAGACAACCTTAAGTATAAAAATGATGAAAGTAGTATGTTTAACAGTGGTTAATGCAATTTCTTTTTAGAGTTGATGTTGATAAAGGGTTGGAGCAAATAGTAAGCCTAAAATCAGAAATTAAAGATATGCAGGATGAGGAAAAACGCCTAAGACAAACCATATCAGTAAGTTTCCCAACTCTTTAAAATAACTTTAAAATATATTGTGATGATTTTAGACTAGCAACAAAAAAATACGTGAACAAATCAAAAACATTGAACAACTAATGAACGAAAGAGATGTCTTAGGTTCCCAACTGGTCAGAAGAAACGACGAGCTAGCTCTGAACAACGACAAAATTAAAATACTAATAACGACGTTACACAGAGGTGAAGCTCAGTATGACCAACGTTTGGGAGATATACGACTACTGAAAATCGAAGTTAAAAGACTAAGACAAGAAAAATTGCTGATGGAAAAGTCGGTGATGAATATGATCGATTTTAGACAGGAGGTTTTTAGATTGGAAAGGGATTTGACCACTACGAAATTGAAATGTCGGGCTTTGGAGGAGGAGCTACATAATCCGGTTAATATACACCGATGGAGGAAATTGGAGGGGTCAGATCCTAATACCTTGGAGTTGCTGCAGAAAATTAAAATCCTGCAAAAGTAAGTTAATTAATTATTTAATTTATATTATTTGCCTAAATTACGAAAAACTGTACATTTGTAATAAGGGCATTTTTTATTGAATTGAGTTTTATACAGGGTGTCACCGTATAAATTGTCATCCCTTGGGGGATGATAGTACACTCCAAAACAATAAAATTTCTCCTTTATCATTTTTGCATTAGCCCTACTGTTTTTTAATAAAAAGATTATGTTTTTTTTTACAAAACCACTGACCTATCCTATACGTATAGTACATATACATATATGTATATTAGACTGGGCCAAAAAAAATCGACTATTTTTTTTTGTAAAGTACCTATATCGAAAATATTGTTTGGAGTGACAAAAAAAATTATGGTGAAAGTTTGAGTCCATAATATTAATATTAAGAGGTTTATCATCACAATTTTAGATTTTTTTTCCTGAGCGAGTTTTTGTCTCAGAACTCCCAAACCATTGAGTTTAACAAAATTGACTTAGAATATTTTTTGAAGTGAATTGAAGTATAGTTTTACAATTTGATCTTTTAACTTAGGAATTTTTTAATACATGTAAAAATCAGTATCCGGAAAAAAAACGATAAATATTCTTATGGGAAATCAAATGCTCTACAAAAAAGTCATTTTGGCTAAATTCACTCCATCAAAAGTTATTCAAGGTTAAATTTGAAGTCAAAATTAAATTTTAACCTTAAATAACTTTTGATTGAGTGATTTTAGCCAAAAATGTTGAGAGGCTTTTTTGTAAAACATTTGATTTCACATAAGAATATTTATCGGTTTTTTATGGGTACTGATTTTTACATATATTACAAAATTCCAATTTAAAAGATCAAAATGTAAAACTATACCAATTTTTATGGCCTGATTTTAAGGAAACGGTTCATCTGACGGAAAATTTCACTTTAACCTTTTTTGTAGAGCATTTAATTTAAAAAATTTCAACTCATGAGTTTAACAAAATTGCAATGGTTTGGGAGTTCTGAGACAAAAACTTGCTGAGGAAAAAAAAATAAAATTGCGATGATAGACCTCTTAATATTAATATTATGGACTCAAACTTTCACAATAATTTTTTTTGTCGCCCCAAACCATATTTTCGATATACTTTTCAAAAACAAAAATAGTTGATTTTTTTGGCCCAGTCTAATATATATATATATATATATATATATATATATATATATATATATATCATCATTGTTTTTAACTCCAAAAACAATGATATTATTCATCCAAGAAAAAAAGGAACAGGGAAAATGAAAATTTTTAATGAATGTATATTATTGCCCACTGTGCAAGCATATTTTGCGTCAGTTGTTGTAGGTCAGGAACAAATTGTAATGATTTTTTATTTAAAAAAGGCACTAATGCAAAAATGATAGAGAAAAAACTTTGTTATTTTGGCGAGTACTATCATCTCCTTAAAGGATGACAACTTATTTGGTAACACCCTGTATTTGTTGCCAAGAGATATCGATTTAATTACTTTATATTAATTATAACCTTCAATCTAATACAAAGGAATTCTCAAAATTATGTAAGCCCAATCATTAATTATATTTCCCAGTTACTATAAATAGTTCTTATCCATACGAGGTTTTATTAAAAAGTGTTACTAACTTTTATTCTATAGTTTGTAATATCTAGTCAACAACCTTCACAAAATTCCTTCTCAGCCCTCTCGGACTGATTTATTGATTAAAGAATATTTTATGAAAACTTTACTAGTGAAGTAAAAAAAAAGTAGTAAAGATAGAAAATAACAATTCCAAAACTCAAAAGTATAAAAACCTGGTGTTCATCATAGGGACAGAGCCAAATAATTACATATTTCCTCAGGATCTGTCCAAAATTGATCGCATTGTTTCCGTTGTCGTCTTCTTTCCTTCCATTCAGCTTTCTTTTCAATATTGAAGGCTCCACTTTATCATACTGTTCAATATTCTCAATGGCTCTTAAAACTCTTGCTTTAAATTTCATCAGAATACTCACGTGAGGCAACAATGAAGGTCTAGGATTGGGTAATTTTTTTACCTTTACAACACCTTTATAGAGTCTAGACTAAAAATAGATAATGCCAGAATAATTTAAAATCCTTCATATGCAACTTCTGGCTTCCTTATACTTCTTAGTTTCAGAATTGATGGTATCTATTGTGGTTTTCCTTAAACTTTTTTTGTCAAAGATTTAATTTTAAAAGTAGTTAGTGGTAGTTCTATATTAACCCTCGTATTGTTTATAAATGATATGAATGTGAGTGGGAAACTACAAATTTTTGATATACATATGTATTCTGGTTTCTGGTATTGTTGACGACTTAATTATAATGTTCACATTTATACAGCGTGTCCGGGAAAATGTGGGATATATCTCGGATTCAGATAGAATATGAAAAAATAAGTTGACACGTTCCTATAAAAAATAATTTTAGTTTAAGGTTTAAGCTACGCAGATTTAAGCATTAAGGTGTAAAACTTGTTCCGCCCCTGGTAAACAAAAAAAGCAAAAAATGTTTCAAGGACACTATTTTAAGAGATCCTTACCAGGGTCCACCATATTAAATTTTTATTAAATTATATTCAGTACACGGAGAGAAAAATTTTGCCAAAATAACTATCCAAAGTATTGTTAAATGACGTATCGTGAATTTAGTCAACTGTTTTATTAAACTGAGGATCTGTATAGCTGATTTAGCCATACAAATCCTCAGTTTAATAAAACAGTTGACTAAATTCACGATACGTAATTTAACAATACTTTGGATAGTTGTTTTAGCAAAATTTTTCTAGGTGTAGGTACTTTAAAAGTTATTCAAGGAAAACCAATTTGCAGTGGCGTCCTTTCGGGGCCCATGTCTCCGTAAGGAGGGCCAGTAGGAATTTTTTTTATAGGAAGGTGTCATCTTATTTTTTCATGTTCTATCTGAATCCGAGATATTTCCCACATTTTCCCGGACACCCTGTATAAAAAAAATTCAAACAACGTGATGTCAAACTTCACGTTGTTTGAATTTTTAAATTTGGTTTATTTACTTTGTTTGTTCACAAGTATATATTGAGTTTACTAAGGAAAACTACTTTCAATACTTTCTTATATAATATGTGCGCTAACATCAAGAGAAACAATTTTAAGCTTCAAAATGTATTTATTAATCGTTTTTTGTACGATAAAATCTTTTTTGTATAGACCCACCAGAAAGTACGTTTATTATATTTTAAAATTAAATAAATTGTCAAAAACCGAGTTTTTTTTAAATATAATATAATTATAATATCCAAATATTACGTAATTATATCTTTTAAAATGCATGCATATCCGGTTGACTGCTTTTGTCTATATAATATATAAATAATTATGTGGATAGGAGGCTTTTAAAGCAATCGTACGATGCGGTCGAAAGGGAAAAACAACTGAAAGAGTCAGAGCAGTTGTATATGAAGTTAAAGGAAGTTTTGGCACATCAACCAGGACCCACGATTAGAGAGGACCTTAATAAGGCGCAGAAAGGACTGAAGCTGAAGGACGATAAGTTAAAGGTAAATTTCTTGTTCAACTATTTTTAAGCTATTTTATATTATATGTTATAAAGTTTTTTTTACTACTGTGGACTATTTATAAAAGACCTAAAATATTTTTTTGAACAAAATTAAACACTATTATACACTAACCCGCAAATTTATGGAATCACTTAACACACCACTCCTGAATTTGGCAGATACACATTGCAGTCAGTGGTTGATCCATTTAAAACATATCAGTCCTAAATCGTCGTGTTTTAAGTGATGCGATAATTTTGCCGGTCAGGGTAGAATCATAAAATGCAATAAAAAAAATATTTGTTATAAATTTTTGATCTCGCATTTTGCAAATTAATTATACAGAGGGACCAAAATTGCATTTCTAAAGGGTAAGAAAAAATTTCTGTTAAAATTCGACGACAAATTTTTCTTTATCATTTTTTTTTAAATTTTCAGGCATAAACTTTTGTGTGGTAACTAGGGTTTTGAAGTGTCGAAAAAAAACGGAAAAAAAACCTGTTTTTCCCGTTTTTTTTTCAGGCTTTGGAAAAATTGGCTTTTTTTGGAAAAATTTGATTTTTTTTGGCAAATAAACACATTTGAAAAAAGTGGCAATCAAAAACTTAACATTATTTTAAATAAAAAAAATAAAACTAACCCTTTGAATGAAATTAATCAGACAATTTTTCTGAAAATTACCCAATTTTTCCGTTTTTTCCCCGAAAAAAAAACCGGTTTTTTTCCGCCGGCTCAATTTTTCCGGAAATTTTAAAACCCTAGTATTAACGCTTGACTTTAAAAATTGATATCAATGTAATTTTATCGATAAACAATCTCTGTCTGGACTATTTGAAAGATCATTTGCCACCCTACTTAAAATATTGATAATTCTAGATTCTAGAAAATCAGTTTTTGGACACTTGGTCCATTTTTTCGGATCTTTACTGGCGGCTTTAAAATTTAAATAACTCCTGCAATTTTGCGAATTTACAAAAAAATAGTAAGGGAATTGCGAATTTAAAAAAGAAGTTATGGAAGATTCCTCTTGTAATTTTAAGAAGAATTCACCTTAACCCTTTGTGCTACCAATTTTGGGACACCCGGTATTTTAAACGAGTTTCGATGATAATATAATTTATTTGTATACATTTGTAAATTATAAAATTTATAATTTATAATATTTGCATGAATTTATACAAATAAATCATAAAAAAATCATGTTAAAATACTGATGATTTTAAATATTTTAAACTTTTGATGTTTTTTTATTTTTTTCTAAATTTGTGTAATTTAAGTAATACCTACTGTATTTTTTCCATTTTTTTTAATTAAATATTTGAGTTGGTAGGTATAAATCAAAACCCAGTTTTATAAATTAATAATAAATTAATAAATTCAACTTTTGTATCTTTAAAATTTTCCGGGTATGAATTTTTAATACTTTGTGATAATATTTTGCAATTATAGTAATTAAAAAATCAAAGGATAAAATATTTTCTTAACATAATCATATTTTAAAGTTATTTTAATATTTTAAAGGATCAATAATTGTAAAGTTAAAATACACTGCGCGTCAAAATTAACGCATAACAAGTAAAAAAAATCCAACTCTAAAAGTTTGTATAAAAATACTTCAACTTATATCTCAATTTACGTGTTCAAGGGGTTTTCGAGAAAATATCTTTAAAGCCCTTTTATTTAATAATAAAAATGCTCGAAAAAAACCTTATTTTTAAGTAAATAAAAAATATGCTGTGAAAGACCGTATTTTTGTTAGTTTACCCTGAAAATTTTGTACAAATCAAACTAACAGTAACGAAAATGCAGCGCTTCAAAGTCGTCATAAATGACCACTTTTCAGCAAAATAATAAAAATGGAGTCATTTTTACCGACTTTGAAGCGCTGTATCTTCTTTACTGTTCGTTTGATTTGTACAAAATTTTCAGGTTTACCAACGAAAATACGGTCTTTAACAGCATATTTTTTATTTACTTTAAAAAAATTCCCTTAAAGTTATTTTTCGAACGTTTTTTTAATTAAATAAAAGAGCTTTAAAAATATTTTCTCGAAAAACCCTCGAACACGTAAATTGAGATATAAGTTGAAGTATTTTTATACAAAATTTTATAAAGATTGGTAAAGGCGTTTTAGAGTTAGAATTTTTTTATCATGCGTTAATTTTGACGGGCAGTGTAATAACGGGCTCTATTAATGGTAAAAATTACGTTAAAAATGTTTATTAGGTTGGTTACTTTATTTTCGTTTAGATGTCACTTTATACAAATATTTCATTTAAATCATTTTTTAAATATAAGATTTAGAATATTAATTATAATTAATATTCTAAATCTTATATCTAAAAAATGATTTAAATGAAATATTTGTATAAAGTGACATCTATGCAACTCGTTTAAAAACTTTTATAGGCATTTAATTAAATTATTTAATTAAACTCGTGACTAAAATGGCGTTTATCAAACTTGATACATAATATACTATACATAATATGTAACGAAATATATTACATATTAATTATAATTAATATTCTAAATCTTATATCTAAAAAATGATTTAAATGAAATATTTGTATAAAGTGACATCTATGCAACTCGTTTAAAAACTTTTATAGGCATTTAATTAAATTATTTAATTAAACTCGTGACTAAAATGGCGTTTATCAAACTTGATACATAATATACTATACATAATATGTAACGAAATATATTACATATTAATTATAATTAATATTCTAAATCTTATATCTAAAAAATGATTTAAATGAAATATTTGTATAAAGTGACATCTATGCAACTCGTTTAAAAACTTTTATAGGCATTTAATTAAATTATTTAATTAAACTCGTGACTAAAATGGCGTTTATCAAACTTGATACATAATATACTATACATAATATGTAACGAAATATATTACATTTCCTTACCCGATAGCCCCAAAATCTGCAATACCTAAATGAAATTATTATTTATTAGGGTGTTTCAAAAAAATCGACTTTTTCTTTTTCTTCAAATGGTCAGCAAATTCTTTCAGAGGATGTCAAAACAAAGACCTCGTTAAAATTTGAGCTTTTAATTTGAAGATTTAGAGGTCGCGGATCGCAATTTTCTATTTCCCATTTAAATAACATAGGAAATTTTTTTTTTTAACTTTGGAATTTTATACGTCTATATCGAATCAACTTATGGCAAGGAACATCTTGGATTTTTATAGTAAATTTAAAGCTCTATAAAAAATGTCTCTTATAATTTTTCTATAAATTGATTTCTTCCAGAGTTATTCGAGGCCAAAGTTTGATTTCCATCGAATTTTCTCGTTTTTTCAACTTTTAGCATCATGTAGAAAAAAAATCACATATTTATATCTGAAACATAGGAAGTGTTGTAAAAAAAAACAAAAAAAACAAAAAAGTCACTTTTTTCCAAAGCCTACTACCAAGTTTTAATGAAAATATGAGATTTGTATAATATGCAAAGTAATTTATTTATAAATGCATTTTTCTCGAAAATGGTGCATCTGAGCAATTCAAATCAAGAGTACCTATTTTTCGTAAAAAACTATAAATTCTCATAATTTCATAAAAAAAATTAAATTATTAACCCAGAAAAAAGTTGGGGCTATTTTTGTAACTTTGCCCCCTCCAAATGTTACGCCTATGATTAAATTTTAACAGTTTTGATCATAGATCTAGATTCAGCATGTCAAAATTACCAAAGTACCTACCGAAAATTCATTTGTTCATGTTCAACCCTCTAGGAATAGTTTTAAAAAAATTATCCTCTTAGGCTCCTATTCAGGGGCCCGTAGCACCTTTAGGGAGCATTTTTTGATACATGTTTATTAAACAAAAAAAGTGTTATTTTTATACGAATAATGCACTGTTTAAGTTTGCCCCCCCCCCCGACACCCGTATAATGATAATTGAACCATAAATGTTAAAAAAACGCGAAAATTCGATGGAAATAAAACTTTGGCCTCGAATAACTCTGGAAGGAATCAATTTATAGAAAAATGATAAGAGACCTTTTTTGTAGAGCGTTAAATTTACTATAAAAATCTAAGATGATCCTTGACATAAGTTGATTTGATTCAGACGTATAAAATTTCAAAGTTAAAAAAAAAAAATTCCCATGTTATTTAAATGGGAAATAGAAAATTGCGATCCGCGACCTCTAAATCTTCAAATTAAAAGCTCAAATTTTGACGAGGTCTTTGTGTTGACATCCTCTGAAAGAATTTGCCGACCATTTGAAGAAAAAGAAAAAGTCGATTTTTTTGAAACACCCTATTATTTATAAATATATTTATTTTATTATACCTAAATTTGCATGCACCCATTTTAAATTTGCTTAAAACGCGCAAAAACCCATTTTATATTAAATCAATACCTACTGGATTAACCTAATAAACAACTTATAAAATTTAGGTGCTGGTATCCGAATTAAACATGGCAGAACTGAAATCCAGCGAATACAAATCTCAGCTAGAGAAAATCACCGAAGACCTCAAAGAAATCAAAATGAAATACATGCAAGCAAAAAAAGAAAACCGAATGAAACGCATGGGCACCGCGGCAACGTCGGAATTACATCGAACGCAGAGCCGGCAACCCAGCGAAGTAAAATTCACCGGTGGCGGGTTTAGAATGTCTGTGCCGCAAATTCCGCTCAAATAATAAGTTTATCTTTGAATAAAGACTTTTATTTATCAAAAAAAACGTTGTTATTTTGTGTTAGAGTGTTTTGAAGTTGTAAGTACGGCAAATCATCGTGTTTCAGGAGAGTTTTTTGATGTAAACATACTTTTTTAGGTTAGTTTGAAATGGCAAAGGTTCTGGAAGTTTGTGTTGACAGTATCGAGTCTGCGGTTTCCGCCATCCGAGGTGGCGCTGATCGACTCGAGTTGTGCTCTTCGCTCATAGAGGGCGGTCTGACCCCGACACCGGGCCTCTTGATTCAAATTCAAGCGGTAAACCACGTGAAAATACCGATTTACTGTATGATAAGATGCCGGCCGGGAAATTTCGTGTACAAACCCGAAGAAATCGAGATTATGAAGGAGGATTCCAAAATATTACGCCGATACGGCGCCGATGGTTTCGTTTTTGGTGCGCTGTTGGAAAACGGCGATGTCGACATGAAAACTTGCAGAGAAATAATTAAATCATGTCATCCGCTGCCTGTCACTTTTCATAGAGCGTTTGATTTTTGCAAACGTCCCACAATCGAAATCGAAGTAATCATTGATTTGGGTTTTCAGCGTATTTTAACAAGCGGCAAACAAAAGTCGGCTCAAATGGGCGTGAAGTTGATTAAAAAATTGCGCGATCAGGTCGGGAACAGGATTAAAATCATGGCGGGGGCCGGAATAAACAAAGATAACATCGAATTTATCTACGAACATACTGAGTGTAACGAAATTCATGGTTCATTTAAAAAGTTGAAGGAAGTGAAGTCTGCCGAAGAGTCTGAGATTATTTTAGGAGAGAAAGACGACCAAATTTACGTGACCGATGAAAATGCCGTCATTGAATTTAACAATATCTTTAAGACAATTTAGGTTTAGGAAAAGTTATTTTTAGCTGAATATTCTAACAATTACTGATGTAAGTATTATACCTAACCATGAAGCATTGCGTTCTTGTTTTTTGTTCACTTGTTAATGTAAATTGTTGTAAAAATTAAAAAACGTATTTTTTGAATTGTGTATATTTTATACCTAGCATTATGGACGACCCCTTATAAAGGGAGTCATGCTTTTTAGGGGATTTTTGACTCCTTCCTTCTTGTCATGTTACAAATTTAAATAACCTAAATAAAACATAATTAATTTTAGAACATTTAATAAAGAAACTATGTATTTCTGGAAAAGTTAAAATAACGAATATCGGGGTTCAAACCCCCATCAAGAACAATTAAATCATCATCGTCATTAAAGGGTAGAGGATTAATTTTATTGTGTTCTTGGTCTAAAAAAGTACTAAACTTAATGTAATAAGAAATATTTATTTATATGGGCAGAAAGACTTCAGTTGATAGCCTTTTGGGTTTTCCAATAAATATATTTACTACTACTAAGAAATATTTGTGAATTTTAGTCTATTTTAATTTAACAAATAAATTATTTAATTATTACCTGCGATGGCATTTTGCTTCCACCAATAAGGAACTTCCAAAACAACTTTGACAGCTGACTTTATAACTTAAGTTTGGTTATGTTTGCACAGATGTACACTCTCTGCTGAAAATCCACAGAACATGAAAATCGCTCGAAAGTTCTGCACAACGGGTGACGTTCACAATATCGAAATTCATTATATCGAATTCAAAATATCGAACACTTTTTATCGAAAATCAAAATATCGAAAATACAAAATGTCGAAAATCAAAATATCGAAAATTAAAATGTCGAAAATGATAATATCGAAAATTAAAATGTCGATTTGAAAATGTCGAATAATTAAAATTTCGAAAATTAAAATGTCGAAAATGATAATATCGAAAATTAAAATGTCGATTTGAAAATGTCGAAAATGATAATATCGAAAATTAAAATGTCGATTTGAAAATGTCGAATAATTAAAATTTCGAAAATTAAAATATCGATTTAAAAATATCGAAAATTAAAATGTATGATTAAAATCGAAGTGTATATGTACAGAGGCGCCTCTGTAGATAAAGTTACGGTTATGCACCGAATTATCTTGGCTCCCTGGCTCCTAGAGATGCGCGTTTTATAGAAATGTACCCAAACTCAACAACACAACCCAACCGACCCCGCCCCATTGGCCCCCCCCGCCCCATTGAGCAAAAAAACCCAACTAAAATGGGCAAATTCATGTTACGATAAAAATAAAACACTTTTTAATTACATAAATTAGCCCATTTTAGTTGGGTTTTTTGCTCAATGGGGCGGGGGGGGGGCCAATGGGGCGGGGTCGGTTGGGTTGTGTTGTTGAGTTTGAGTACATTTCTATATCAGAGGCGCCTCTATACATATACACTTCGGATTAAAATAATATGTCGATTAATTGAAATATTTAAACAAAATATCAAATTCAAAATAAGAAAATATGGTTTAGTTTCACATTAAAATTCGATTAAATAAAATTTCGATATTATCATTTTCGACATTTTAATTTTCGACATTTTGTATTTTCGATATTTTGATTTTCGATAAAAAGTGTTCGATATTTTGAATTCGATAAAGTGAATTTCGATATTATGAACGTCACCCCTGCACAACATCTTTAAAAAAAACTGTTTAGTCTTGGTTGCCTAATGTCAATCCAAAATAGCCCTTTATTTTATATGAAAAACTTAAAAACTTCTTGGATGAAGAATACATTAGGCAACCGTTATGACACAGTGTTTTGGTTCGTAAAAAGTTGTCAAACTTGCTGTTAAATGATCCTCTAGTAATAAAATTTTGGTTTTTGGTTAACCAAAGAATAAAACTATAATAATTATAATTTATAGTGTTTAAAGTAGTATTATTAAAACATTATCTGGTTTTAATATAAACAAAAAAGTTTCTGGAATTTCCTAAAAAAAAACCCATAATACCCCAAAATGAGCATTACCCCAAAGCTTCCCCAAAGCAAGATAAATAAAATAATGGGGTAAAAACCCCAAATTTGGCAGCGCTGCAATAAACCAAACTAAAATTTTTGACCATTTTTTGGTTCACTTTCGACACATCCATTCTTTTTAATTGTCTATAAATGTCCATGATACAACCATAAATATTATTTTAATTGTCTGAGACCATTTGTCTCTTTAATTGTCTAAATATAACTTATAAACTAAACGGTCAAAAGGAGCCGTCCATAAATATTGTCACAAGTTTTTTTTATATTTTTGACCCCCCCTCCTCCCTTGTCACAAAGTGTCACAAATTATGGGACCCTCCCTCCCCATTGGCGTCACGTGACGTACGTCACACTGATTTAATTTTTATGTAAGGTCTATCTCACGAAATTTTTGCTTAAAATAAAATCTTAATATCCAGTTTATAACCATTATTAATTATTAAATTCCAAAAATTATTATGGTTACTTATACCTTATTTAACCCAAATTCCGAAATATTTTTATAATTTTGTGACATCACCACCTCCCAAACCCTCCCCCGGCTGTCAAAAACTGTCACATTTTCGACGACCCCCCCTCCCCCCTAAGTGTGTGACATTATTTATGGACGGCCCCAAACCTTATGTTCTGTTCTCAAAACCATGGAGCCTACACAAGGAGTCAGAACTTAATAGGCAAATAATAAATATAATAGGGAAAATTGACAAAACCCACTAAATGGCATAAATTAGGTTTTCTTTTTTACCACCAGGGGCGCTGATTTTCATTGTGTACTAAAGTCTGCTGTTTTAGAACTGTTTCGGTCATAGAAATAAAAAATACCATGCTTTTCGTACAAACCATACAACAAACCTGTATTGTTAAGTCGTTTTCTTATAGATGCGAAATGCGAAATACGAATATTCGCATTTCGCAACTCCTATTTTATATGGACGCGAATTATTTTAGGGACATTGTTTTCTTTCTATGGGATATTTTTTATGCTATTTTAGGTAAGTACTAAAATAGTAGAGTTACTTAGTGATTATAAAGGTAAAATAAGAAACATTATTATACCTCAAAAAAATTTTCGTCCATAATAAAAAAACAAAAAAAACTTCAAACACTTTTTTAAACAGTTGGAATAAAACTGAACAAAACAAACACTATTATAGTCTATAATAGTCTTATACGATACAAACCTTTCTCTATGATACAAACGAAATAAACATAAATAGCGAAAGTATGATAAGCAATTGCATAAATGTGCCTGCAAAACGCATGCGCATAACGCCAACTTAGTGCGATTTTCGCAAAATATTGAATCAATCTCAAGATTCCCGCCCCCTGGATTCAAATCTTGCGAATTCTCAGGATCTGTCGAAACGCTTTTCCCGCCAAATCAAATTGACCAGTGGGAGCATTTTTCGCATTTCGCATCTATATGAGAAGAGCTTTACCTGTATACTATAGAAATAATATTTCTATTCCAACATCAAGTTCGGACTCCTTGTGTAGGCTCCATGGTCAAAACCATAAAAATAACCAAATTATATATTTTGCCTATTATTCATAGGTGGCGTTGATAGTTGCTGGTTGTGCTCTTCGATCATAGAGGGCAGTTTGACACCAACACCTGGCTTTGTAATTCAAATTTAATTCCTAAACTATTCTATGCTTATGGGTGAATCCCGCGAAATGTCCCCCGATGGTATTACCCCGTGATATACAGTGTGTCCGTAAAGTCCCGGAACATGAGATTATTTTAAAAACAGTAATTTTTTTTTAAAAACGCTGAAACAAGTCAACTTTGTTATTTTTCTAGGAATATTTTGGCATTTGTAGTTGTTCCAAAATATGCCGCCTGGCGTCGCCCCAATCGAAGTAAGGTTTTTTTAAATTACAACCCTTTATTTTTTTTGCATTTTTGGATAGCTAACATTGTCCTGAGTACATTGATATGCTACATGTGGAGGGTTACATAAGAAAATTTTTAAGAAAAGTAGGTTTTTGCCGCTGATTGAGATTATTTAAATCAGGTCTTTCCCAATCGCTGGGTAGGTCGAAGGGGTCAAATTGAGTGGCCATCGCGATCGCCCGATTTGAACCCTTTAGACTTCTTTTTATGGGGACATCTTAAAAACCGCGTCTATGTACACAGGCCTTAAAATTTGACCTAAGACACCGCATTCAAGCCGAGATCCAGATGATCACTTCAGCGGTACTGGCAAACGTACAACGCTCGTTTGTAGACAGGCTGGCCCATTGCCAAATAGTTTACGGTGGACACTTTGAGCAACTGCTCTGATTGGCTTTCCAAAAAACATTAAGCAACGCATAGATTGTGTTTAAGTTTGACAAAATACCAAAATCTCATTCGGCGGCAAAAACCTGCTTTTCTCAAAAATTGTCTTATGTAACCCTCCAGATGTGGCACATCAATGTAATCAGGACAACGGTAGCTATCCAAAAATGCAACAAAAATAAAGGGTTGCAATTAAAAAAAAACTGACTTTGATTGTGGCGCCGCCACGCGGCAGAATTTGGAACAACTACATATGCCAAAATATTGCTAGAAAAATAACAAAGTTGACGTGTTTCAGCGTTTTTTAAAAAAAATTACTGTTTTTAAAATAATCTCATGTTCCGGGACTTTACGGACACACTGTATAATAAAACTAAATGAGTTTGACCTACACTTTTATTGTGTTTTGATCTTTCATAATTAAGTAGATATTACAGCTCAGGTTTCAGATTTTTAACCGAAATTAATTACTTTGTACAATGTTTTAAAAGTCTAAAACCTATCTTCCGTGACTGTTACTCTTTCTAGGTTAACCTATATGTTTTCAAATATCTGAGGTAGTAAAAGCATACTAAAAATATCAGTTCACTAAGTAAATTAAACACATCCAAAGCAATCGAATTAAATATATAATATTATTAAAAATTAAAGGAAATAATTTTTATAATCATTTATGCAGGTGTTACAAAAATTGATTCTATACTCCGTGAATCTGTTTTTGCTTTAAATTTTATGCAACGGATGGGGCTTTAATCATTTTAAATAAGCAAAAACCTCTGTTTACGACATTACAGATGCATGGGATTCCTGAAGGTCAGTTAGAATTTATATGCAGATGAGAGTGTTGCTGTTTTATAATTCAAAAGTTTAAGTTCATTAATTTGC